TATTTGTTTGTAACTCTTTTGGTGCCTTTTGTGATAATAAATTAGTTGGTTCATTTCTTATTAATGCTTACAGTCCTTTGCTAAATTGGCACGGTTGATATTAAGTCTCTCCCTTGACTGTGACAGTACTACACTAATCTGAAAACAATTATTTCGTTCCAGAATTTACTATCTTAAACTAGAAGCATTATTCCTCATACCAATTAATATGTACGCCACTTTACATGATAAGATATGCTGGGAAAATTTACAGCTCAGAAAAGTAACAATGGTTTAATGCTTGAATTCAAGAGAGAGAAAAAAAAAAAAAAAAAAATCAATTTTATCTACAATTAATATTTTCAAAACCTTGGATCATATAACTAACTACGTATGCTTATAGAAAAATTTTAATGCGGTGATTTATTAATAATATTTTGTGATCTTTGAAGCATTTCTCTTGTTCGTCTAAAAAGAAATAACAGCACTGATTGGCATGATACCACATGTATATAGATATCTACGGATACCTGCGGATACCGCAGATACCTGCAGATACCCCCGGGTTATCTGTTTAAAAGCTGACGGATGATGGTTACTCTCTGTGAAGCATTTACGGATTTGGAAATGCAGTTAACCGTGCGGGTATCCGGATAAGGGGCTCACGGGTCCAGCCTCTAGTTCAAAGAAGCAAAATAACTAATATATATACTGTAACAATACAATAGCTGTTATAATAATTATATAATATAATATTCGTATTAAGTTGAGATACTAGGTAAATATCGATTGTGAAGTTTTTCATAATGGTTATATGATCAAAACTCTTCCTAATGATCACTTGTACCAACCTAACACCGAAAGCAAGTTGAAGATTCAAGCCTAGAAGTCAACAACAACTTGAAGTTTTCTTGATATGAACTGTTGTCAACGAAGTCTTTAAATGTGATACACTAAGGAGCGGGCATTTTGGACGGTTTGCAAAGCGTCAAGCCTTGCTTCTCTGCTATTTCTGGGGTAGACTCCCCTTGCGTTTAGCATCCAAACTGGAGGAGTCTCTGGGAACAGCAAGTAGAAAAGAAAACTAAAGTTAGTTTGAAGATGGAAGACTTTGAAGAACTCTTGAAACAACACTCCTTGGTTGAAAAACTCACAGAAACTCGATATTTTCTCCCTGTCTTTTGGCTTCAAATTTTTGACAAAAAGTGAGGAATTCAGCTTATCCCCTCCAAAAGATCAGCATTGTTTACTACTTTCATATCGGAAAACTAGATGATAACAAATCAGCACGTGTTACAAAATGAATGAAATGATAACAACAAGTCACATGGAGTTTTTAAAATCTTTATACTTTCAGATAAAGATATGGATTTAATAGGGAAAAGTCAAGCAAAGTATTTTGAGATATACAACGTGTCCCTTGTATATAATTTTTAGCCTTTAGTACAAGTTATAGTGCATTTTGTTTTAGTTTTATGGTTTTAATTTTGTCAAGACTCTCGCACTTAATAGTAGATCATTACTTTGTATAATTAGAAGTTTTCACCTGGTTAGCAGGTTTTCTTCTTTTTAGCGATAGTTTCTTTTAGATTTTTAGTTTAGTTTTTATATTCCTTAGTATTAGTATTCATTTTCTTTGATGTATTTGTTTTTATTATATACCTTTTTTTCGTTCTCTATTATCCCTTTTTTTTTCTTTTTTCCTTCTTTACGAGAAAGTGTCATCAGTTTGACGGCATTCTATTGTAGAGCGGAAATCTTAATGGAGCGAGCACCAGCCAGCCAAGGAATCTGAGGGAAATAAGTCCAGAGTGAGTTTTGAATCTCTAAAGGAGGCCAAGTATTGCTAGGCAGGTCGCATCTGGGCAAAACACAGCAGTTTAATGGTTTGCCCTGACCGCAAGTGGATGTTTTGGCATCTGTGAGGTACGCTGGGAGTGAGTTTACTCTTTGGTTGGAACACTTATAGATTTTAGATTTCTTCATATGCCGATGTAGGAATGAAAGTCTGTTCCTATAATAAAGTAAACAGGATTGCTGAAGGAAAAAAAAAACAATGATTACATGATTAAGATTGTTAGGTCAATTGGGATCTTTGCTAGCAAAATGACTCTACGAGCTATTGTTATACAAGATTTTTATTAAAAAAAATATAATAAATCTATTTTTAGAAAAAAAAAATCCTAGCAAAAATTCTAATTAATTTAACGTATATGAAGACACGATTACTTTATTATAATAAATAGGTAAAAAAATACAATAGTAAATATAATATGATAAGAAAAAGAGAAAATCAAGGTCTATTTTTCTTCTGACAAATTACAATTTATAACATTTTGGACTTTTTAGTAGTCTTTTAATTTCAACTAACTCAGTGGACACAATGTGAAAGGACGTAAAGACATGACATAAGAAAATAATACGACACGACATGAGATTATACATGTGGGATCTAAAAGATTAATATTCAATTGAGATGTCCAATATACTATATAAATCAAATATAGTCTCATATAACAATCAAATACAGTATATAATTTTTTTTGTATAACAATTATGCTAATCTATAGTAAATTGCTATAAATTTTAACAAAAATTCTTAATATTACTAAAAATTCTTAAAATTACAGTAATAAAAAAAACATTCTATTAGTTTAAAATACAGGTTCTATTGAGTAATCGAGCAAATTTTTTGAACTAGTTAATATGTAACTTACAAAGAAGATACAATTTGAAATTTGATAATTTTTTATAATTGTTTTATATGAAATTTTTAAATTTCAAATTGTATCTCCTCTGTAAATTACATATTAACTGTTTTAAAACTTTTGCTTAAATGCTTAGCAGAACCTATATTTTAAACTAATGAAAAGTTTTTTTAAAAAATTTTTTTAAATTTTTATTTTCAATTTATGAAATAATCTATTTGTCATAGGCGGTGATGGTATTCGGATTTTATTTATAATTGTATTTAGGATCAGAGAGATCATAGTATATAGTAAAATTATGCAAGAAATATTTTTTGTTAAGTTATAGAACTTGATTTCGTAGGCATAATTTTGAATTATTTTGGTTGAAAATTTTGACAAATATATTCGCCCATATATTTTAACAATGATCGAATAGATAATTGTGATCGTTACACAAAAAATTGTCTATACAAATATTCATATAGGACTATACATAAATTTGATCTACATAGTATACTGGAGGTTACTGGACACCCATTTGATCAAGTGACAAAATCCCATGTAACAAACTACCCCAGGATCGCCAACAAAAATTCACGCTCACGTGAAGATCTGCAGAAATCATCATCCAATAGGTGATCACAATTTCGTGTAACGTAACACGATCAGGAAATTCGTTCGTTTTTGAAAGGGTTAGAGAAAATTGCTTGTTTTTCGAAAATTAGCATAAGAAACCACCTTCTGCGTTCTAACAAAAAAATTTCCTCAAGTAATTTTACTATATAAACTACTAAATTCTAACCTTCATACAAACCCTAACCATACATAAATAAACTTCAAAGAATTTATCGCATGAGCGTGAATTTTTGTTGGCGATCCTGGGTAAGATCCAGTACATAGTCAGGAATATTACCAAATACGGGGGATGGCTAAAGCTATGTACCCATGTGTTAATCAGTTTAAGGTTAGAATTAGGGTTAGGTTGGTGTTGATACAGTATAAAAAGAGGAATATAGGTAAAATTGCCTTCCCGGCATTTTTAATTAGTGCCCCAAGACAGATTTAGACTACTGTTGTTTGTCTTTTTGCTCCGGACTTATATCGGTTTCCCGATTCCTAGTAACTATTAGATTTAACATATATATTTATTTAACAATTCTGCTTATCGTTAAATCATATTTGGATCCTTGAATCGAAACGAAACGAAATTTTAATAATTTATAGCATTGATTTAATAACTTTGACCGGTTTTTTAAGTCTTATACTTTGAAAATGTGACATATATTTTGATTCTGGTTGTTATTCCAAATGAAGTAGAAATTTCAACTCCTACGTAATAATGTCAGTCGCAACCTTAGAATCATTGAAACCAAACTCGAAACAATATATAAAACCCCTTGAACAGCCAGCTACAACTCTTTCATCATCGATTCCTAAAATGTTAAACACGGGACTGTCAGTATCAGGCGTAGAATCTAATGTACCATTCTCCGCGTTTAAAGAGTTTGGGCCGCATATTCCATCCTTGCTACTCAATCCTTTAAGAGAATTGTAAACAAGAAGATGACTCCTAGGCGGATAAGAAACAAGTGAACCAATCACGCCATGATTGTATTTAGCGTCCATTCCTGCGCAGAGCGTACGATACGAAATCTTTTCGTTTTTGTAATGAACTTCAGGATCTTGAGAAAAAATATAACGATATTTTTTATCCTCCTCAATTTCCGAACATTGAGATGGTTTCGAGTTGCAATACATCGCTGTCCATCTTAAGTGAAAAATAGAACCAGAAGGAGCAATACATAAAAGATCGCGACCTTCACCTTGATAATCAAATGCGCAAGTACTAATCGATGTGCTTGGAAGAGTGTATTGGTGAAGGAGTTCATTCATAGCAATATCAAACACATCAATTGTACCATTTGTTGAAACAGAAAGGAGTGTATTGCGACCAAGAAGCCGGACACCGGCAACCTATTGTTTATCAGTATAAAGTAATTGAAAAATAAACGTGGAAACAATTTTTTTAAAAATAGTCATAAACTAACCGCTTTAGGATGATTATGAAACAAGGCAACTCTTCTACCATCAGCCCATGATAGAACATGTATTACACCTTTACAAGTGCCTAATACTATATATTCTTTGTTCATGGCCATACACTGAGTTCCTATCCAATGATCCTCAATAAATCGGCCAAGGCATTCACCTTTTGAAAGAGAAAATAATTTACATCCAAAATCACTATGATAGATTAAAGTAGCAAGTTATCATACGTTATAGTATTTATAAAACACAAATAAAAAAGAAATCATACCCGTAATATGAGCCGCAAGCGATAACATCCATATCTTCAAGAAAATCAACACATGAAATATCAGCACCAAAATCAATAGTAAGATCAAGTTTACCAGTTTTGATGTTCCAAACTTTGAGACAGTATTCACTTGAACCAGTAACTAATATATTCCCACGTAATTTTAAGGCAGTCACATTATTATTGTGTGCTTTAAAGCTTGAAACTTTGGTGGCAGTTCCTCGATTCCAGTTTCTTTGAATTCGATAGAATTTTTCCCAACTATTTGCCGAAGACTTGGTTCTGGGCGGAAGTGGCCCTGGCTCGAAAAACTCCGCGCTATGATGTTGCCATATCGTTTCATCCAACGAAATAGAATAACTAAAAGGATCAAAAAAGGAACTAATTATAACGTACAAAGCTCTAATCCATTTTTATCTAGTTTCCGATTTAAAATTATTGAGGAAGTACCATTTTTTGGAAACCTTAAAAAAAGAAATACTTTTATGAGAACCCTTTTCCATCGCGATGTCAAGTAAACTGTTAAAAAGATCTTTACCGTACGACACCGACAAAGGGTAGACACGGGAAGTTCAATAAAAATTCTTAACCAAATTTCGTCCGGCAGTAAATCAAGGGGACTTGTAACAGTAGTTTTACTGGCTTTAAATTTTTCTAGACTTTTCATGACAGTAATGTATGTGTTTGGGAAAAAATAAAATTATACAATTATCTTTCGGATAATCACAAACTTATCTGTACAGTGCACGACACTTAAAGGCTCAAATCACGTGACCTATCCCATTTTGGGTACGTACGTACCAAAAAAAACTGCTAAAAATTCGATTTTCGTCACATTTTTATACTCTTTCGCGGTATCACGTGACCAACGAAATTGTACTGACTTAGTGTAGTCACAGAATCGTTGCACTGCTCCTGTTTGAACGAGAACCATATCAGTCAGCCGAGATGTCGGAGAGTTTATATGTTAGATTTGCATACTTATTGATCAAATTAATAGACGTACCTA